GGTTTTTGGTTTGTTTTGGGTTTTTTTCTTTGAAGAGGACAACTTATGGCTGTATTTCTTAACTGGCACTGAGGAGTCAGACAAGCTCAGGACATCTGCTTTAAACTATGCTGAAAACATGACTGGTTTTAGGCATCCCCTCTAAAAATCCTGCCTGCATGCATATCAACTTGTGAACTATCAGTTTTCAACCTAGTCTATTATAGTAAAGATTGTATTTGAGTGTGTCAGATGTCCTTTGGGATATGAAATCCATCTTGGGCATGGTTTTGGCAGTAAGAGCTTCAACCATCTGACTTCAACCTGCCACCACACGTTCCTTAGAGCCCAGAGATGTACCATGTTACAGTTCTGCCCTAAAAACATGGAGCTGGATTTTGAATTTCTGTAATGTTTTGCAGGGAACAAAGAAAAAGCTGGTTCAGATTCTCTCCTGGATGTTCTTGAGCAGTTTGTCCAGTTCTACAGGCTTGAAAATGGAGTACATCATAAAGACATATGGGAGGCAGATGCAGTGAAACGACTTCTGAAAGTGCTGTCTTCTGTGAAAGGTACAGTGGGCTCCCATCTCCCCCCCTCACAAAGCTTAATGGCTCTGAAAAGTGTGTTTTATGCTAACAGACAATTTTGGTTCTTTTACCCCTTCCTTCTCTTCCCTGTTTCTGCAACAGGGATGGGCACAAAAATTCACTATGGTGAAACAAAACCTTCAAACTGACCTGTCCATCAGCACAAGGATGGAAAGATGCAAGGGTGATGTTTTGCTGTTTGAATTTATTGAGTTCATTATTCCTGAAATGAGTTGACAGGGAGATGGGTTTTATGTGGCTTTGAATGAGTTGACCTTGTCTTCTCTCTCTCTTGCAGAAATCCCTGAAGGGGTGGTTTGCAACATCTCTGATGCCTGTGCTGACAGCTTCATAAAACAGCTGCTGGAGAAGCAAATGTGGAGGACAGTTTTGCTGCTGCTCACGGGGAAAGCCACTGTGTCAGAGTCCTCAGGGGCAGGAGGGCTCTTCAAAAACTGTGACCTCTCAGACGTGGACATCGGCAACGTCGTCCAGCGCTGCGACGGGACGGATGAGCAGATGCACCTCATAAGGTGCTTGGTTGAACGAGGAGGTGAAAACTCTGCAGTATTAATATCTTATAAAAGACCTAGAGGGTTTTTTTGGGGGGGTTTGGAGCAATACAGTTTCAGGAATACCAGCGTGGGGGGTTTTGTGGCTGCGTGTGAGCGCAGCAGCTCGTTGGGGTGCCATCCGTTGGCTGCGTGGGGGAGCTGGTGAGGCTACAGAGGGTGGGAGGTGTTATTCCAGTGAAATTTGGCTCTCAGGGTTGGTAAAAGGCCAGAGATGAGTCTTTGCTTGTAGTGCCTTTGGGGTTTCATTTCTCTGTCTTCAGCCACAATATTATCCTGGTATTATCTGGTTCAGTCCGTTCTGTCACGAGTCATGGGCTACCTGAGTGATTTCAAAGGCATGACCTGATGTCTGTCTTTTTTTGGCTAGTGTAGACATCATCATTTTCCTGTTCTGCATGAGGTTTATCCCTAAGACTCCTCTGACATTTTTCATTTCCTCTTTAGTACTTGATGTTAGCTGTAAATCACAGACCCACAGTCCTCCTGCAGCCTTGTGAGTGCCAGAGGTGCAGGGAGGCTTCTTGTTTTGGTCAGTGACTGAGCTGAAGATAAGTTCTGGCCCTTCTGTCTTCCTATTGCCACAGGAGGACTGGCAGCTCAGCTTAATGAGGAGCTTCTCAAGATTTTCTTAGTCAAAAACTCCTTTTAACAGTAAAAAGCTGACCAAAAAACCCTCACCTTCTCAGGCAATCAGGGTGTACCTTCATCTGCTCAAAACTTTCTGTAGCTTGTAGGTCTGGTGTATCAATTTAAGCCCTGATATCCTCATGTCCTTCACACCAGCTTCTCCACATGGAACTGGTACCAACTCTGAAATACCACTGCAAATATGCCTCAAAAAGAATTACTTTAAACTGGTGCATTTTCTGCTGACCAAGGGCGCAGATCCTCGAAGCATCTCCACTGCACAAGGAGATACTCCTCTGCATGCTGCAGTTTCCATCTGTTTGAATAAAAAAGGTAAGATTTTTGTGTGCTGGGGCCTGGGGGATGCCAAGAGCTCTAGCCAGATGTGCATGGTTTATTTTCACAGCAGCTGTTGAAAAATTCCCCATTTCTTACCTCGTCAGCTGCCCCTTCTGGGGCTGTTTGCTGTTCATGGAATCACGGTTTGGTTGGAAGAGAACTTTAAGATCATCAGGTCCAGCTGTTCCCACAGCACTGTCAGGTCCCCAGTGACCCCTGTCCCTCAGCACCACATCTCCACAGACCCCGGAGCTGCTGGTCATTGAGATGAGCAGTCACCAGCTTGCCTTGTGCTACCTAGCACAGCTGGTGTTGGGAGATGAACAAATCTGTCTGCACCCAGAGGTTAAAAAAGGAATGAAATCAATGCTACAGGAACAGTTGCAGCACTGAGGATATCAAATCTTTCCTGCCATTCTGTTGTTGTCCCTGAATATTAGAAAAGCTCAATTTTGACCCATTTTCATGTTTTACAAATATGAAATGTGGATTTTTTTTTGAGAAAAAATTGATTTTCGTTTAATACCTCAAGAAAAAGAAAATATTAAAGATTGTTGACCTGCTAAGCAGCCTTCTAAAGTGATTTATTTTTTTCTTTGTTCTCTCACTTTCAGATGAGGCTGCTTTAAACATCCTGAACTATCTGCTTGATCTCTTTGCTTCAAGACCTTCTGACTTTCCATACCTGAATCCAAACGTGCAAGATGAGCATGGAGACACAGTGATGCACCGTGTTTTTCAGAGAGGAGTTTCACCACAGGCTTTTAGAGTAATGGAATCCTTGGCCAGATTTGATATTAACTTAAACATCAAAAACAAATTAGGGAGAGATGTGGGGCATAAAAGCAAAAAAAATTACGTCCTGCTACGTGCCTGGAATAATGCTACAGGGGAGAAGAGGAGGTGTCGTCAGGATGTAGCAGGGCAGGGTGTTAAAACTGTCCCAGCCTCTAAGATTTCCCAGCCAAAGAGCTCTGGGCGTCCTGGCAACGTGGTGCGTGGTGATTTAAAGCCTCCCTGCTCTGTGAAGGCAGAAAAGGATCCTTTGGCAAAGCAGGAGACAGAAAGAGTCACTAATGCCTTAACCCTGCAGGAGAGTCTGGTGCAGGCAATCACGGCTTTGATTCAGCAGCTGAAATTGGGTGATGCCCTGAGAAAGGGTCACCCTCTGGTACAAAAGCCATCTTCAGCCCAGGTGAAGTTGGAAGAGGGAAGGAAGGGGTCCTCCCAACCTTGTGGAAGCACAGCTGAGGGAAAAAGGGGTGACTGGGAGAAAAAGAAGGGAGGGGGGGAATTCAGCGTGGCCCAGCCTCATGGAGAGAAGGAAGAACAGGAGGAAGAGAAGGAGAAGATTCTGGATATTGAGGCCTATGTGCAGGAGTTTGACAACATGACCTGGGAGATTGAGTGCACCCCTGAAATGCTGAAGACGTTGGGCAGCAAAGCTGTGCCTCACTATCTGAAAACTAGAACCATCATGACAATCAAGCAGCTCGGCAACGGGGAATGGACCAGGGGCCTTCACAAGCCACTGAAACACTTGAAAGCTGACATCCAGCTCTTCGAAGCCAAGTTGGGCAAAGGGGCAAGAATGCTGTGGGAGCTTGCCATTGACTTTTCTCCCCGTTGCAGCGAGAGCGCGGAGAAGATCATGGAGACAGAGCGGGCAAAAAGCCTTCCAGAAAAATCTGGTAGAGTTTACACAGAAATAATCAGAATTTGGGCCATTGTCCTCGACCACTGCAAGCTGAACCGTGTCTTAGATAGTATATGCATTTCCTACAACCGTGGCTTATCCTGCATCTTGAGGAAAAAGCTCAAGGGCATAAATGAAGGAGGACACCAGAACCACAGCGTGTCGACGCAGAGGCGCGTTCCACGTTGCTACGTCGAAGACTCAGAGGCAGAGAAATCCAAAGAACACACCATACCTGAGTATTTCCCTCCAGCCAGCGCAGCAGAACTGGAATACAACCTCATAAAATTTCACAGCTTCAGTACTAACATGGCCCTTAACATCATAAACGATGTGCATTCTTCAGTGGAGTACCCCTTCCGAGTGGGGGAGTTGGAGTACGCGGTCATCGATCTCAACCCACAGCCCATGGAACCCATCATTTTAATTGGGAGGAGTGGGACGGGGAAGACAACCTGCTGTTTGTACAGGCTTTGGAAAAAATTCTACTCCTACTGGGAAAAATCCACCTTGGCGAATGGTCCTCTGCTAGAGAGGCAAACCTGGCAGCAGATGCCGTGCAGTGAGGTTGGAAAAGCTGGGTCAGAGAAGGAGGAGAGTGAACCAAAACACAGCAGTGACAATTCCAGTGAGGAGCCAGGCAGTGACGAGCAGGACCAGAACAATGAGGTGGAAAAAGTTCCTGTGGGCACAGCTGGTGCAGAAATGAACTCGGGTGATGACCGTGAAGAAGCCCAAACGTGTCGTGCAGAAGCGTTGAACAGGTTGGAGCACCTGCACCAGATCTTTGTCACAAAAAATCCTGTCTTGTGCCAAGAAGTTCAGAAGAACTTCATTGAGCTTAGCAAATCTTCGAAGGTGACCAGTCACTTCAAGCCTCTGGAGCCAAGTGTTCACAAGCTACAAGATATTAAAGATGAAAATTTCCCGCTGTTTGTCACCTCCAAGCAGTTGTTGCTGCTGCTGGATGCATCCATGCCTGACCCGTTTTTTCCAAGAAATGAGGATGGAAGCCTTAAAAAAACCATTGTTGGCTGGAGTCCTCAGGAAGACTTGGTTTTACCACACTGGAAAGATGAGGATGAAGAAGGTAATGTTGAAGCAGACCCTGGTGATGGTGAAGGAGCTGCAGATGTGTGTCCGAGGGAGAGCGATCCTCGGGTATTCGTGACTTACAGCGTGTTTGCAAATGAAATCTGGCCAAAAATGATCAAAGGTAAAAGCTTGTACAACCCAGCGCTGGTTTGGAAAGAAATAAAATCCTTTTTGAAAGGCTCTTTTGAGGCACTGAGTTGCTCTGGGGGCAAACTTACTGAGGAGCAGTATAAAAAGCTGGGCCGAAAGAGGTCACCGAACTTCACGGAAGACAGGAGTGAAATCTACCACCTCTTCTGTCTCTATCAGCAGATACGGTCCCAGAGAGGCTACTTTGATGAAGAAGACTTGCTGTATAATCTATCTCAAAGACTCTCAAAGCTCAGGGAGCTGCCGTGGTCCATCCATGAGTTTTATGGGGATGAGATCCAGGATTTCACCCAAGCCGAGCTGGCGCTGTTGATGAAGTGCATCAATGACCCAAATTCCATGTTCCTCACTGGTGACACTGCCCAGAGCATCATGAAAGGAGTTGCCTTTAGGTTCAGTGACCTGAGGTCACTCTTTCACTACGCCAGCAAGAACTCCATGAACAAGAAGCAGCGTATCAGAAAACCAAGGAGGATTTATCAGTTGTACCAGAACTACAGGTCCCATTCAGGTAGAGTAACCAATTTATCATCTTGAGCCTCTGCTCTTCAGCTGTCACTGGTGATTGGCATTCTGATTTCAATCAGAGCTAATTCAAAGCATCTTTAAGCAGCCTGGTTGTTTAAGAAATCAGATGATCAGCTTTTTCCCCCATGCCAGTTCTCTAATGGAGAATTTTTCTTCACCTCAACTGGAGAACCAAAAATGATTGTTTTTAAAACGGTCATTGTTTGGACACTCATGGTTTGACTGGATTTGGAGGAGAGCTTGACAAATAATCATACCCATTTCTGTTGTCTGGTCCCCAAATCCCTCTTCTTTGCAGCATTCCTCGGCTGCTTCTGCTTTTCTTGTTTCTCATTTATACCCTTCATTTTGTGAGGGTGCTGCTAAGCCTTTGAAGGATGCTGCAGGCCCAAGGATAAAGGCCACTCAAAATGGCAGAAACAAAGTGGACCTCACAGCTTCTCTCTTCCCTGACTAGCTTTTTTTTTTGTCAGGATATTGCTCGATTTCACACTTCTATCAAAAATCTTTTTAAGAGTGTGTTGGTGAGAGTATGAAAGGCTCAGCCTGAGGTCTGCAATCTCCATTCTGCTTGCTGCAGGTATCCTCCGTTTGGCATCTGGAGTGGTTGATTTACTTCAGCATTACTTCCCAGAGTCCTTCGACAGGCTTCCTAAGGACTGTGGTCTCTTTGATGGCCCAAAGCCCACGGTCTTGGAGTCCTGCAGCGTCAGCGACCTGGCGATCCTGCTGAGGGGCAACAAGAGGAAAACACAACCCGTGGAATTTGGAGCCCATCAGGTTTGATTTTCACACTGTAGGGCTTTTTGCAGGTTCTTCCAGCTGAATCATCATTTTTTTTTGGTGGACTGCCCACAACTTTCTTTTTTTTAAGCCCTTGTAGCTCACTGATAAATGAGATTTGTCACTTTTTAAACGTAGAAACCTTGGTTGTGTTGGTTTCTGTTCCTTCTTGGTATACACATCCAGCTCTTCCTGTTCTTTTGTGCATCAGGTGTTGCCTTGTCCCCTTCCTTTCCTTTTTTTGGTGGACTGCCCACAACTTTCTTTTTTTTAAGCCCTTGTAGCTCACTGATAAATGAGATTTGTCACTTTTTAAACGTAGAAACCTTGGTTGTGTTGGTTTCTGTTCCTTCTTGGTACACATCCAACTTTTCTCCTGCATCATTTTGTTGCCTTGTCCCATTCCTTTCCAACTCCAAATTTTCTTCCACCAGACCTCCAAGTGTCTGCCCATGCCACACGTTTGTCAGTCTTCTCATGGCAGCTTTGTGACCTTTTTTTTGCAGAATGTGCTTTCTCTATGCAGCTCTTACCTTTTTTGGCTTCCTAATATTTTCTCTTTATTCATGTATTTTGTAACAGGTGATATTAGTGGCAAATGAGACTGCCAAGGAGAAGATACCTGAGGAGCTTAGTTTAGCCCTTGTGCTGACAATTTATGAAGCAAAGGGCTTGGAATTTGATGATGTTCTACTTTACAACTTTTTCACTGATTCAGAGGTATTGAATTCTTATCTGTTTTCTGCATTTTTTTCTTTATTTTACATGTGGTCTAGTTGGCTTTCCAGCTGAGGAAGGACCCTGTGTCTCCTCTCATGGTGATGGTTTCATCACAGCAGAAAAGAGTATCAGTAGAAAAGAATATCAGATTTACTTATTGGTATATTAGATGTTGAATATGATTTCCTTGTAGAAGAGTGATACTGCAGTATCCTGATTTAACAGTGGTGATACAGAGTGGAATGGCAACACAAATGTCATTCCCAGTGTGCTCCACCACCATGATGAGCATCCTCAGTCCCTGGGAAGTAACAGGCAGCTTGAAATCAGTTCAAGCCAGTTAATGAATATTGATGTTTTTTCTTTACATACTTCCCTGAGGTAATTTTCTTCCACTCTGAGCCTTCTTCAGTTGGTGGGATACGTTGGTCCATCACAACATGACTTTATCTTTTGCATCTGTGGGTAGTAGTGATTGCTGCATGCAAGTAAACATCATTTTCTTGACCTTTTAGGCTAGCAAAGAATGGAAGATAATTTCTTCCTATACTCCAAATTCAGATGTGCAAGTGGGAAGCAAAGTCTTAATTGAAGTGCCCTTGGAGGATGTTACTGGTCTGCAGAAAACAACTCCTGTTAATGTAGGAATGTACAAGGTGAGTTCTTTGTAACATTGGGAATAGGAAGGATAAACTAAATTCTTAAATCTTAGAGAAATTCCTTCAAGAAATCTTCCATCCTGTAGTTCCATGTTCATTCAGATTGCTTTGTCTTTTTGGTAGGTGTTCATATTTGTGTGATCTTGATTTTTGAAAGAGAAAAGTTGGCTTATGGAATTAAAAAACCCCCACATTTAATATTTAGACTTGCTTATTTAAAGGTTCTGTGTTTGTTATTCAGTCTGTATCTATTTGCTGTTTTCTTATCACTGCAAAGTATGGGGTTTTTTTCACTACAGTTCATCTGACATTTCATCCCTTTTATTTTGGTGTGTTGTTTTTTTTCTTTTGTTTTGGTTCTTTTTTTTGTTTTATTCAGATGCTGAATGGAGAACTCAAACAATTGTACACTGCAGTTACAAGAGCCAGAGTCAATCTTTGGATCTTTGATGAAGACAGAGATAAACGGGCTCCAGCTTTTCAGTATTTCATCAAAAGAGAATTTGTTCAGGTTGTCAAAGCAGATGAAAAGAAAGGTAAAATTACCCAAAAAACTTTCTTTAAACACTGTCAAACCAGACACTCTAGACTTGCTGTCTTGCTTTTAGGCTGTGTGATAAAAGAAGGTTGAATTTCTTGATCCCTCTAAGTTCCCTTGCAAAGTTCCCCCAATTTCAGTGGGTCTTATTTCTAAAGATCAGTTTTGAATGTTAACACATGACTTTGTTGCTAATTCATTAGTATCAGTTTTCCAGCTGTTGTAGGAGAAATCTGAGATCACTCAGACAGACCTCATCTAGTATTTAATTGAGTTCTAACCAGTAAATTTAGGTATTTAATACCTACAGATGGATTGATGGTCAGTTCTCTATTTACTACACAATGTTGGCATGGGATACAGAGATCCTCACATAAGCTTACTAGATGTGTCTTCAATGTTAAATGCATGCAAAAATGTCACTTCCCAACCCATTAATGCCTGGTGTTGAGTAAAGGGATCTCTCAGCTTGGAGGAGGAACCTTGAGAGGCATTCCAGGTCAGGCTGGGTGGGGTTCTGAGCAACCTGCCCTAGTTACAATGTCCCTGCTCAGTGCAGGGGGCTTGGACTAGATGGCCTGGAAAGGTCTCTTTGAACCCAAACCAATCTGATTCTATGATCCCTACTCAGATCTTGCCACTCAGCCAGCTGCTATGGACAGAGCTGGATGGACACTTATGGCTGCAGAGACTTGTAGCCTAAAAGTGGTTAATTTTTAGTCAGATTTTCGGCTGTCTTTATACAGTTTCAGCCACTTATCAGCCCACTCTCCAGCCAAACCAGTTGGAGGTTTTTTATTGTTGTTTTGGTGCTGTTTTCTCACTGATAGCCTCAAACAATGGGATTAACTTTGGTCAGCAAGTAGGTCTAGAGCAAAGTTCTGCTAGTTCAAAGAGGAGCAGAGTGTCCATCACACCTCCACAGTAACCAAGGCTGTTCTTGGACAACTATCCCAACAGAGCTTTATCAAATGAAAGAATTTGGTTTATTTACATATAAATCCCAGTTTTGTCCAAAAACCCAAACATGGTTTATAGAGGTGTTTGAAAACCCAACCAAACTTGTTGGTTTTTTTCAGTGCTGATTGAGAGGGATAAAATACTAAGTTCAATACAAATCATAAAGAGTTTGGAACATTATGAGGTGTGAACTCTTAGTTTGGGGCATGTGCTACATGGTTTCTGTGATTTATCCATTCTGACATCAAATGATGACTTCTGACCCTCTAGATCTAGATGACAGCATGTTTGCTAAAACCTCAACTCCAGAAGAATGGATTGCACAGGGAGACTACTATGCTAAACATCAGTTCTGGGAGGTAGGAGCATATGTTTATCTGAAATAAGGATTCTTGTCTATTCTGAAATGTTCTTTGCATCTATAAAATGATCTGTAAACCTTCACTTGCTCCTTAGCAGTCTTAGTTTGGGGTTTGTAGTTGAGTAGGTGTCTACAGACTACTTGTAGATGACTTGCAAGAGGCAAGCAGGGAGAGCAAACCTATTGTCTGTAAACTGAAATGCTCTACTTGGGAATTTGCAGTCCAGTGAGGGAAGAACATTTGAATGCACACAAGTAAAAGATGGTTGGGAAAAAAACAATTACCCACAACTGGAGTTATCTGGAATTTGTGAACCTGAACCACGTGCGTGGCAATAACATTACTGCAGAAAAAATGAAAACATTTCTTGGAAGTGCATTGATGTGGTGATGATCTCAGAGGCCTTTCAGGGTGTTTTTTTGAGCAGTAATTAGGGGTGGATGCAAAACACACATTAAGGAACAGCGTGTAAGAACCAAGGGATTTCTAAGAAAACCACAGCAGGAGTAGAAAAATTATCATTTCCTTCCCTTCCTATTTAAAGAATGTGGAGATTTTTCAGCCTTTTGTTTCCTAAATTGAGAGTTAAAACAATCTAGATATGGGATGGCAGTTAAACAAAACCCAGCCAGGACAACACCACCAATGAATTATTCTACAAGGAATTAAGGGAGGATATTTCTACATCAACTGCCCGTGTCCATATGGGTGATTTAACTTCCCAGACATCAACTGGAAGTATCTGGGAACACCAGCAGGTCCTAGGGAGCTTCTGGTGTATGTTGAAGTTAACTTTCTGGTGCAGGTGTAAAGGGAGCTGACTAGGAAAGGTGCCTTCCTGGATTATTTGTTTGTAAACAGAGAGGGACTTGTGGGCAAAGTGGTGATTGGTGGCTGTCTTGGTCACAGTGGCCACAAAGTAGTTGAGTTTCAAATTGTTGGTGAAGGGAGAAAGACTTTGGCCCTGCTGATGGAGGTAGTTAGTAAGGACCACTGGGAATCTGCTTTTGTAGATCTTTGGGTCCATGAATGCTGGTCACTTTTTGAGAGCCTCTTCTTAAGAGCATAGGAGTGGGCAATTCCAAAGTGGGAGAAGTCAAGCAAGTGGGGCCCAAGGCTGGCTTGAGTGAGCAGGGATCTTTTAGAGCTTGGGCAGAAAGAGAAGGTGTGTGGATGTTGGAAGCAAGGACAGGCAACATGGGAGGACTACAGACACTGCCACTGTAGGGAAGAAATTTCTGCTGCCAAAGATCAGTAAGAGTTCAAGCTGGAAGAACAACAAAAAGGGCTTTTTTTAAAAAATACAGGAAGATACAGGAGAATCAGAGATGACATTGGTCCATTTCTTGATGAGTGAGTCACCTCACAAACAGGGATCTAGGCAGAGTGATGCCTTCTTCACCTCTGTCTTTAAGACCAATGATGAGCCCTTGGACTCCCAGAACTCTGTGTTGGAAGACCATTACTGGGGGTATGATAAACTTTATTGCAGGACCTCTCTCCATTGTTTGTCAACAGTCTTGAGAGCCTGGAGAGGTCCCAGTCAGTGTGGTGGATTTGGATTTTAGCAAAGCTTTTGATACTGTCTCACAGTCTCTCCTTTGTTTTGCTGATAGCAACATATTTTTTTAATGTGGAAAATGGGTATTTATAACAAGGCAAAAATCAAAATAATCAGCTGCCACTATACAGAGAGTATCTTCCCTTGGAGAAAGCAAAAATCAAAATAATCAGCTGCCACTATACAGACAGTCTCTATCTTCCCTTGGAAAAAATCCCTTCCAACCCTGACAGATTCTGATCTGTTTTAGCAGAGGACTTTAGAGCCCTAATGGTTGGACTTGATGATCTTGGAGGTCCCTTCCAACCTAAATGATTCTATGATTCTATAATTGTTTAGATGAATAACAGAACAGCTGAAAAAATTTCATCTTGCAATTTGAAATGTATTGCTATTGATATTTGCTATTGGGTTTTCTTATCTTATATTATCTTATCCCAGAGAGGGCCTGATATGATAAAAACATGAATAAACTTTCTGTGCTTTTTGATTTTTTAGCTTTTGCACACGTTGGTTTTCCTGGCTCTTATTAGTAGAATTTATGTGGTAGGTGCCTGGGGACTTACAAATTAATGGCTCAAGGCCATCATTCAGATTGCAAATGCTGTTTGTTCTACCAGCCTACCAGGAATTTTTGCTTTCACTACTTCCATGTAAAACATTATAATTAAAATTCTAATTGCAGCAGGCCCACGTGGACTGACTTTAAAGCTTTTCATTTTGTCCTGAAAACATACTGCAGTGTTTTACCTTTCCCTTCTTCCAGGCTCCCTACCAGTCTTAATTTCCATTGCAGTGACTGTAGAATGAAGTGTTGCTTTTGTGTGGTTAAGCCATGGGTTGGATGCACATGGGTGAAAGCTGTGTGTGTGATTTCACCCCAGGTTGCAGCCAAGTGTTACCAAAAGGGAGGAGCAGCTGAGAAGTCAAAGCTGGCCTTGGCACACGATGCTGTTCTCAAAGTGCACGCCAAGAAAAGCAGCCCCAGGTAAGTGTAAATGTGGATCTGCAAATGTCAGGCCTCGTGGGAGCATGCAGGGGGAGATTGCCACCATGGTTGGTGGGGCTGGACTGGAGGTGGAGAGCCATGCAAGGAGGTGCATCATTGAATCATAGAAGATTTTGGGTTGGAAGGGACCTTTCAAGGCCATCTAATCCAACCTCCCTGCAGGGAGCAGGGACATCTGCAGCTAGAGCAGGGTGCTCAGAGCCCCATCCAGCCTCCCCTGGGATGGTTCCAGGGATGGGGCTGCGACTACCTCTCTGGGCAGCCTGGGCCAGGGGCTCACCACCCTCAGTATGAAAAATTTCTTCCCTCTATCTAGCCTAAATCTCCCTCTTTTAATTTAAAACCATCCCCCCTTGTGCTGTTGCAACAGGCCCTGCTAAAAAGATTGTCCCCCAGCTTTCTGATAGGCCCCCTTGTCCCCATCTCCATTATGGGCTGGCCATACCCAATGTGGCCCTTGAAAGGGCTTCCTGGATATGGGAGAGAAAAGCAGCAGGATCTGTGTTACCTCAGGAGGCTTTATATTCTTAGATATAGATAGAAGAGCATATGGCAACAGCAGTGCTCAACTCCACTGCATAGGCACTTAACAAAGAAGGAGGAATGGTGTCGTACAGTGGGGAAGAAAAACTGCTACCAAAAAGTGAGCTTTGGGGTAAAATTAGTGTTGGGAGTCAATCTCAACTCAATAAGCAGAACTAGGTCTGAACCAAAGGGTGATTTGGAAGGGACAGGGTTTGAGATGAGTCATGGACTTCGTGCTGTCAGCTGGGCAAAATAGCTCAAGAGTTTGACAGGGGAGAAAGCCTGCAGTTTTCTGAAGAGGCTGAAAAACAGTTTGGGACTTAAATAAGACAGGAAAAAAACCTTCAGGAGGACTTTAGACTGAAGTTAATGAATTCTTGTTTATGCTGGGGAGGATGAAAACTAGCAGTGGTAGCAGAGTGGGTAAGGAATAGAGCAGAGGAAGCTGGAGCTGAAGGGAGAAGATCTGGAGAAATGTTATTACTGGAGTTAAACAAGGTTTTACCATTTTAGTTATTTGTTTTATCTTGGTGGCCCTGGCTAGGAGTATAAGGATACTCATAAAATTTTAATGATCATATGATTTTTTGATGGGACTGAAAAAAAAATGTTTATTTCAGTTGGCTGTAAGCTGAGGTGCTTGTGAACTGGAGGAAATTTGATGAGAAGAAATTGGGTATCTGAGGATAAAATTTGATAAAACATATGTAACCACAAAGCTGAGGGAGGGTCTTTTTTTTTTTAGTAGAAATATTATTGCTGGTGTACAAAGCCTAAGTAAAATTTTTTTGCTTTATAATATGATATGCTCTGTAAGGTTCTGATCCTCCAGACTCAAGCATGAATTCAGGCTAGGTCTGGGAAATAAAACAGACAGGCTGAGGTGAAACCAGAAAGGCTGGGCTTGTTTAGTGATACAGAACAAAGCCTGAGAGCAAATTTGATTGTTGTCTTGATTGCTATTGGGGCTAAACAGCAGAAAGGAAGAAGGAGCAAGTGAAGCTGGAAAAGAGAAGCAGCACAAAACCACTCTGATGTACTTTAGTTTGAGAATTAAAAAACAGAAGGCAGCTTTTTGCTGGCAGAGCAGTGAGATTCTGGAACAGATTTCTGGACAGAACAGTGTCAGCCCAAAATACAGCTAATTGTAAGGTAATAGCTCAGCAGGTTATGTATGAAGAACAACACATGTCAGTGTTGGTTGGGTTCAATGACAGATCATGTGATCCTAAATTTAATTTGGTTCTAGGTGGTAATTTTCTCTTGCTTTCTACAGGGAAAAACAGCTGGAATATATGACATTAGCTAAAACTTACTTGGAATGTGGAGAACCAAAACTATCACTAAAATGCCTCTTCCAATCCAAGGAGTTCCGGCTGTGTGCAGAACTCTGTAAAAAGTTGGGAAAGGTATGAAAACATCTAAAATCTCCCTAAAACTTCAGCTGTTACTTCATTCAGGGCTCTGGTTATTCTGCAGCTTCACTGATTACAAACATCTTAATGGAACCTTGAAAATTGCAAGGGGTTTAAGTAATGTGCTAACAATAATTTTTGAAGTGTATGAGGATATTGAACCTTTTATTTGCAGTGTATTTCCACTGAATTAAGTGGAATTAAGTAGTTGCTCCTAAATATTTAAAGTGTATGATATGATTTTAGGGTTCCCAATCTGCATCCGTAACTGTTGTACTTTAATCCTGTTGATTCTGAGAGATTTGCAAGTCACCAGAAGTGTGGGGGGTGTTTTTAACAACAGGCAGAGCTGGGTGTGAATAAAAAGTACTTTGGAAATCCTGTATAATATCTTTCATTTTACATTCTACTTTTTTTAGACACAAATATTTTGAAGTTGTTTTTTTTTTAAATCAGTTGGGTTATAATGATGATTAGTTTAATATGTATTTGATTACATTCAGATCCTTTAATTAGTTTTTATTAAAGTGTGCTTCTCTGAGACACCTACGTGATGGAATTACTAAAATTTATTCTATCCATGTAGTTTTGAGTGTTTAGAGCACTTCAGTGTCATTACTGACTTCTGCATTGCAGATAAAAGATGCTGCAGTTTACTATCAGAAAAGCCAGTGCTACAAAGAAGCATCTGAATGCTATGAACAAATTGAGGAGTTTGATCTGGCAGTTAAAATGTACTGTCAGGAAGAACTCTATGAAGAAGCAGCAAAGGCAGTGGAAAGGTATGTCTTCCAAAACTGGGAATATCATTCTCTTTTCCATTTCCAAATCCAGCTGGCTCACCTTAAAATCTTCACAAGGGTTTTGACTGGTGACTTTGTCTTGGATGAAGTTGAATGAACTTTGTCAGAGTTCTCCCTTGGGCAATGATAACACACTGAAAGCATCCTGCTGTGTTCACAGCTGGAGCAGTGAAGAGCTTTCTTTTCCTGGGAATTTCCTTAGAACTGCCTTGCACTCTGCTTGAACTGATTTTATTAGTATTTTTTTTGACAGAACTTTGCATCTGGCACCATCCCTGTGACCTCATTAGTACCTCGTTGTGTAAAGAGTTCATTTATTTGCCATACCTTTCATTACACCTAGATTGATGACTTTTAAAGGCTATGTCCACACCTTCATGGAAATCCTTTGTGATGCACCTTTAATGAAGGCAACTGGTTTTTGAAGGCTTAAAGCTTGGTTTATGTGTAGAAATAGTTTAATCAAAAAGTTTAGCATTAAAGTCACCTTACCAGCTAACGATTTTTTTAATCGGCTTCCCCAAGTCATTCATGCAAATTCATCAGCCTAGGTACAAAAAAATCTACACTCCCACGTTTATCATGAAAAAGATGATGCTGAAAGGCTAATGATAATTTACTCACCCATCAGGAAGAAATTACTCATTCTCAGCATGCAGAAGAGAATAATTTTGCAAGACTGGCTAAGGGGATATCTTCATTTCACATCAGCCAATTAATAACCAAGTGTTTTGAAGTGCATCTTTTGAAAGGTGCAGCCAGGTTCTTCTGCTCAGGCCCTCAATAAACAGGAAAGTATATGTAGATATATGACAGAACTGCAAGAGTTCTCTAATCTGCCTGGTTTGTGTAAATTTTACAGAATATTATCTGTATTGGCCTGTGGAGGATTCATTGACATTTGCATTTGTTTCATCCTGGCTTCTGTTCATATTTCAAATATTCTATATTTGAAGCTTACTTGAGTAAACAGAAGATTATCACTGGCAAGATGTGATTAAAATAATTTGTACAGTGGTTTGACAGCACAAAGAAAGGGTCACTAATGCTGTGAATCTTGTTTATACCAGAAGTTTTTAATGGTCCTGCTTGAGACAGCCTTATGTTCTAACTGAATTCTTTCTGTGGATCCTTTAAGGTGATGGGGTTGTTTTTTAGCATGACAGGCTGAAAAATAGTTGGCCTTTTGAAAGGAAGGGCTTCGGGGGGAGCTATTTGTTTAATGTCTTAGGGGCTTTTTAGGAGTGCAGTGGGGTTTTTTTGTAGGTTAGTCATCTATGATAGCAAACTGTGATAAAAAAACTATGATAATAAACTGAGATTAAAAAACTACAATAATAAAATATATCTGTGATTTCAGGTATGAGTTGCTGCTAACTACAAAAGGACAGATGGCTTCCAAACTCTCATGTACAGCGAATCAGTTGTACTTGGAAGCGGCTGCGAAGTACCTGAGCATGAACAGAAGGGAGGAAATGATGCAGGTCCTCTCCAAGCTGGACGTAGAGGATCAGCTCGAATTCCTGAAGTCTCGTGGCTGCCTGCACCAAACAGCAGCCTTGCTGAAAAGGGAGGGTCGTCGGGAGGAGGCGGCCAAGCTGATGAAGCAGCACGGCTTCGCCTTGGAAGCGGCCGGCCTGACGGCGCTGAGGGAGTTCCGCGCCTCCTGCCTGCTGG